CGAATCGCCTCTGGCTGGCAAATCAACAGCTTGTTAACTGGCACTTCGCTCGCTGATAATGCGATTTTGATAATTGGTAAAGCGATTGATAACGATAGGTGGTTTGACTAAACCGTTCTCGTTTGGATAATGCGGAATAATAGATATGCCGCGGTGTCGATTTGGTCGAGAACTTGTCTGCAAAATGTATAACTTTCGTCGGACTATTCCTAGCGCAGAGTTAAGGTGCAAGAAGGCCTTAATTATGAATGAGGTCAAATGCCATCAGAGGAACAAGTTGGTTCGGATTTAAAGCCGATGGAATGACAAAATGGAACCAATCCCTTTAGCGTGGTGACAAATAAAACTGAGAATCCCTAGCAATAGTAGCAATTTACGTAATTTTAACGAACGATATCGATCGATGAAAAGTATTGTAAAACTGTAACGCTTCAGTATTATTCGCACATTTTTATCACATTTACAATAGCAATGAAATATTGAATATCAGATAAATATAAGTGTTCCCTTTGTCAAAGCTGTTGATGAAATACTACGGGGAAACGATTGTAACTGAGAATGTGCTCAAAGATGCAATTAAAATCGTTTTCATCGATACTGCCGAAGCAGTCGCCAATATATATTTCACATCTATACTCTCTAAATTTGAATCAGTGACTATTCCCTGATTCAGATTTAGAGAGATAAATAAGTAATTTATAACTTTGATTAATTTTAACAGTATCATTAGTAACGCTTGCCGACGCAAGCGTTTCAAAACACGACGCAGGCGATCTTTCATCAGGATAAATAAAATCAATTATTGTGTGTTATCTGTATTATCGCAGTCACATACACACACACACAGCAACTTGCCACGAGATACTCTCCTGCCTTCCTAGCATTGACGCAAGTAGATAAAAGCTTGAAATTAATCTCCGTTTTAATGTGTACAATCGCGATTGTTATCTGCACGGTGGTTTGTTTGTTCGATGGTAACAACGACGTTCGTATTTACGTCATTGCGAGGAATCCGCGAGACTGAAAACTTGGATATGATAACAATTCTACGCAAAAGCTCTGAGAGACAGGCTATTGTTGTTCGCTATTTTAAATAGCTCACTATTTTAATATATGTAACGTACCGCGAGGGAAGTCAATGCCTGTATCGCATAATATATCGACTAATTTGAATAACATCTTGAATAATACCTGAACGGCATTCGGTGTGCTAAATAAGGATTTAGTAAAAATCCAAAATTTCTAGTATTAAAAACAGACAGGTACAGATAAATATTGATTTCGATCTCACGAATAAATTAAAACTGGCGTGTTCGCTAAAATTGAAATATAGGAATTGTTTGTAAAGAAAAATATCGTAAAAAGTCAGCAGCAGACGTGCAAACTATTCAAACGGTCGGGAATACCGAGAGGGATGCGCCACTCACGAGAAGAATTTAATTATAAATCGGTTGTCGGTTCTGGCATGAGAGAGTGAAAGAGAAAGAGACTGAAATAATCACGACCACGTGTTCATAGAGTTGACGAGTAAAAAGCGGTTTTGCATCACAATAAAAGATTCCGCGCTTCGTTAGGTGACGAATGTTATTGTATAACATGCATGGGCGTTGCTTTTAGAAAACGTTATAGACACAATAGGAACGACCGAAGGGTTTCTACTCGAGGAAGCTATACCATTCACGATAAGTTCACATCAACTTCCGATAGTAGGAACCGGGTAGTAGAAACTTACGAGGGTTTCGGTGCCCATTTTGAAGCTTTACAAAAAGACGAACGTGCAGGACGACTACATATCGGATGACTATATGGACAGCTTTCATGCTTTGGGAAATGATTGGAAAGTACAAAATCCGGCTTACATCGCGACGAGAAATACCGAAAAAAGTGCAGTTTTAATGTTTTATTAATAAAAATTACACCGTGCTTTATTTCCCAATTAATTTCTAATGGACTCTATAAGATGTTATATTATTCTCTTGATGCTTTCGTTTAGAATTTCGTTCTTGCCAGATTATCGTTAGAAGAACGATCTTTGTATCGTGCGCTAGCAAAAAAATCGCTTAAGAGAATTAATGCAAATTGATAAGTGTTATTATAGTATGAGACATTAATTTATGGGAACAGAATTGGCCACTGCTTCCTTTTAATCTCTTTCACTTTTCAGTCTCTATACTCTGATTTCCATTACCTCATACATGTATACGTAAATTATATTTATTCATGAGAGTTAAAATATTCATTAGAATTTAAATAGAATTAAAATTTACATTGTAAAATAGTTAAAATCAAAGTAAAGAGAGACAGAAAGAGAAAAACACATAAAAGGGAGAGAACGAGAAGAAACGTGGAAAGTTGGTACAAAAGCAATAGAAAAAGACTGATGACTTTCCATTAACGATCAGATGGCGGAATAAAGATTTTTGTTGAAAGACACCATCATTAATTAAAACACAAATATACGAATGGCGTTCATTGAATTTATTCAAGTCACAACAATACGCGACGAATGTTCAGCTCGTTTTCATAGCGGAGGATAATGCGTGAAAGTTATTTTAATTTGCTCACGGAGTGCGCGCAACCTCGTTAATATTGTCATAATGTGATACGGTATGATGCCTTCGCACTAATTACCAGCCAGGCTTAAGTCAGTCGTAAATCTGCTTTTCGGAAAATTAATTTACGCCCGCGCGGAGAAGAGGAGAGAAGAATTACGCAAGCGTTTTACTCCAGAGTCGTACGAAACTTTGATGCCGACGTGCATTAAAGTAAATGAAAACGCGGAGAGATTAAAGCAAAAAATCGAGTATCGTGTCCCTTTGGCGAGAAAGAAAAGCAAAACTTAAAAGTGACACGGCATGCATATAATTTCTGTATAATTTTTTATTACGGGAAATATATTTAATTAAACATGTGTTTTTGTATAAGTTTAATTACTTCTAAAAAGATCCAATGAGTATTTTTGGAGCATACAGGATGTTCCAGACTACTTGTATTTTCCTCTACGGAATCTTAGGCATTTTCGAGTCAATTTATCGAAGATTTAACGAAGCATGCATATAACATTGTTGGAATAATTTTCTAATGATCTATTAAACGCTAATTAATTATTTTAGGTCTTCCCAATGAGCTGAGCGTGTTCTGGCAGCAATATCCGTGGGCCCTGGGCACGGGGCTTTGCAAAATCCGGGCGTATGTGTCAGAAATGTAAGAAATTCCATCTTCCATCTCGTCTGGTCCTTTATTATCGCGCGAAGATATATCTGCATGCTCCATTAAATCCGAGCATCACTTTTCACAGGTCATCCTACGTGTCGGTTCTCACAATCGTGGCTTTCTCCATGGAAAGGTATTTGGCCATCTGTCATCCGTTGCGCGTCTATTCGATCAGCGGTCTCAGAAGACCGATACAGTTTATCGTTGCAGCTTGGTCAATTGGAATGGTCTCGGCCATACCGTTCGCGATTTATCCCAAGGTCAATTTCGTCGAATATCCGCCAGGTTAAGCAGACACATTAATTTCTTTGCGATTATCGTAAATATCCGATAATTAATTTATTCAAATCTTATAGTCTTTTAATGCTATTTTGCAATCTCAAGTCTTAATTTCTGTTAAGATCTTGTCAGAATTTTTTCTTGTATGCAACTAGTCCAAAATATTCAAAATTTAATTTTGAATAAAAGTGACAGTTTAGTTCGACCCAACTGGCAATTTATTAAATAGCAATGCTCACATATATACACAACGTTTCGACGATAGTTTTTGGTTCTTATCAAGTCTAATCTAAGTCATAAATTTAAAATGTGGCTATTCCACGAAACATCTTAATAGTTATGGAGTTTTGTCTAGAACTATTAAGATGTTTCGTAGAATCGCCACATTTTAAATTTATGACTTAGATTAGGCTTGATAAGGACCAAAAACTATCGTCGAAACGTTGTGTATGTGAGCATTGCTATATTTAATTAATTACCAGTTGGGTCGAACTAAACTTTCACTTTGTTAATTATTATTACTGGCAAAGAAAAGGATTACTCTCTGTTAATTTTTAATATATTCCTAATCTGAAACTATACAGTTTCAATACACAAATTTACTTAAAATAGTTACATAATTGGTCTGACCTACGTTCAAACGTTAAGTTACTCTTTTCAGGATCGGGAAATTATTCGGCTGATTCGGCGATTTGCGCGATGCTTCTGCCCGACATGCCAAAATATCCCCTTTACGAACTCAGTTGCATCGTATTCTTTCTGATACCGATGCTCGTGATCTTTGTGGTATACACAAGGATGGGACTGAAGATCAAAAGCAGTACCAAAGAAACGCTTGGCCCGATACAAGGTTCCTACGTTCACGGCGATCATCGACAAGTTCAAACCAGAAAATCCGTCATCAGAATGCTAAGTACGATAATCATCATAATCTTTATTCTCCCTCTAATAATTTAATTGTAGCGATAATTTTTTATGCAGTTATGTAATAAGGAACTATGCGCCATTAGAAGCGCTAAATTAAAACGCTCCTATTTTTTCGTAATACTTTACATGAACAGGAGTTTCTAAAATCGCATATAAGTAATATATGGAATTGTATTTGGGAAGAATTATAGTTCGATCATTATATTTGAGATAACGTTAGCGCAGAATTTTATTTCTACTGTTTTGCGAAATTTTTTCTCTAACGGAAAAAAACTTTTAGCGTTGATTCCGCATTGCAGAACTGCGCCCAGTTAAAAAGTTGGCAAATGGCTAAGTAGAATTTTATGATCGCACTGTAATTTTTATTGGCAGCAATTCTCGCGTACCTTTCTCTCTTTTTATTTCCAACATTTTTGGTATTAAAAATTTTGGTAAATTAATATAAAAATTTCAGTAATTAAATTTGGCTTTCATAGTCCATTTTTGCTTTTTTACTCCTTAAGTTTTCAAATTCTCTACGTGATTAATTTCAGGCGCGGTCGTTATCATGTTCTTCCTTTGCTGGGCGCCGTTTCACGCCCAGCGTCTGCTTTACATCTACGCACAGGAATCCGATTATTATCCGGACTTAAACCAATGCCTCTACATTGTGAGTGGCTGTCTGTATTACTTCAGCACTACCGTCAATCCGATACTCTACAATTTGATGAGCATCAAATACCGCCAAGCATTCATACAAACGATATGCTGCAGAACGAGGAGGCCGACGAGCAAATCTTTAATGGCAAAGGAATCTCATCCGCGTAGATGCGACTCCTCGAACGAACGAAGTGTTGTATGCTCTGTCAGGTATGAAAGTTCGAAATTTTTCATGCCAGAGATTTAAAAAAATCATAGATGTAATATATACATATATATAATAACCACATCAATATATGGATGAGTAAAAGCCATAGTGATGTAAGTCAAATTTTTAAAAATATTGACTCGATATGTATAAGATAAATATAATTTTAATATTACATCATTATCCTATATTTTACAGTAGAACGTATTTGTTAAACACCGATATTTTTTTTAAATCAGACACCAGGTCTGTTTTCTATTGCTAAACTGGCTGCACTAGTTCAAAGTTTATCTCTTTTTTTCCGATGTAAGTAAAAAAGACTCTGAACTAGTGCAGCCAATTCAGCTATAGAAAACAGATCCTATATATTACAACAATTTTACGTTTTTTCTTTAGGTATACGATTGCTCAAGCCAAAGAGATGTTTTGTTTTACGCCGAGTCGACAGGAAAGTATAAAGGATATCAACAGAAATAATGGGAATGCAAGCAATTTTTCTCAAAATGCTTACTCGTCACAAAAGGAAGATTCATCTTCGACGTTTCTCTTTGAACGAGGGCATCTTCTCGCTTACCAGCAGCCTAGCAACGAAAGCACAACGTCCACGAAAAGATCAGAAGATACTGTTTCCATAGCTAAAAGCAGTCTGTGATCTATTTTCATTCGCTTTTATTTAGATAAACAAATATAATGCGCATGTTGTAAATAAAACTGTAGACAGTTTGAGGTATCGATTATAAGCGCGAGAGGCTTTACTATATTGTAAATAGGTAGATAGCCCGAATTATTTTTTTTACCGATTATAATGCGTCAAAATTTATTTTATACTATTTATTCGAGAATAAAGCTTTACACATATTATGCCTGATGTTTATTTTACGCGTTCGTGAATTTATGCAATTTTAGAACGACAAATGTGTTAGGCCCCGCCATGAAAATAATAATTTTCGTCAAAATGCTGATACGCGCGATTATTTCCATACTAATCGTGATATGCTTTACACCAGCGAGCTATACTTTAATAAAGATAAATTTGCAGTAATAATGATTCAATTGAGTTTTTAATAAAAAGCTCCATTGTCAATCCAACTCATTTCAGCAGTAATATTATCAGCTTGTTCCCGATCAATTCTCGACATGTAACGCGTATTTTCTTTTTTGCACAAATAAAACGTTACTTGTAGCAATTAATATCCTTCTACACAAAGAAAATAATATTCCTTTATATCAATTTCTTTAATATCTTCTCTAATTTACAATACCTCGCTTTATTTAATTTCCCAAGTTTTGCATAACAGATAGACGTATTCAAGCAATAATTTCTTTGCATTATATTCAAGTGACGTAGCTCATGCATTTATTTCAATTGAAATGAGATGCGTATTATATGCATAACGTACCACCCTCCTTTGCTTTTTCGCCTCTCGACGTCAATAAGAACTTGGAGAATATTCAGCGCCGTGCAATTATTTACACATCCGTAGCTTTAAAGTCGCGTAGACAAGTCGTGAATGATGACTTTTTGCTATATATATAAAGCAACTTAAGATATGAGAAACCGGTATAATCTGTGTACATTCATTTTCCTCACGCTCAAAAGGCGTCTCGCGTCTCAAAGATAATCAGAAATTCTTAATGCTAGGAGACCTTCTGCTAAATTAGATTTCTAGGATCACTTGATATCCCCGTCACACTTGGATTTTCATTGAATTTCAAGTAAATTCATTGTACGTACCTATATTAAACAAATGATAATAAATTCTAGTTCTAATTCGGCTATATATAAGGTCTGTTTTTTGTTTTAGCTAAACTTCTTACAGTGTTTATCTTTCCTCTTTTTCTCTCTAATGTGGAGTGAAAAGGAGGAAAGATGAACGGTATAAAAAATTCATCACAAAGAACAGATCTGTAGAGTCGGTCGAAATATATCAGAGGTCCTTCCCTTAGGATTAAAACCAAGAGTCTCCTAGAATGAAAATTATCCGGAAAATCTAGATTCTTTCCTTGATAAAGAAAAAATCCGATCGTGCGAACAATATGTTAACGTCACATTGTACGTATAAGATAATAATTTACTCTATTGTTATGAAATATATCGTTTATTTCTGTTGCCGCACTAAGCTTCTATGGATAGATTAATTTCCGTCTTGAATCGAAGAGGCTTGGATCAATCGGTTTCCTGCATTCGGCGAAAGCTGCACTAAATGGATTTATTACAACCGTTGGCTATATTTTACATGACCATTAATCACGACTGCATAGACCGTAGGGAGCTTCCGTGTTTGGTTCCGCTTTCCGGTAACAAATTGCTAACGTCTTAATTATAAATGAAGTGTACACGTGGCATCTCGTACATATTTCAGTTAATACTAATTGCAAATCGATTTTTCTTTATCGAGAATTTAGTGGGATGTAGAATCTCTCCACCTATAAATTTTTAATTTTAAACATTCCTGGAAATAAAACTTTAAGTTTTGAAAAAATAAAATCCTTTTAGTGCCACTTTTGCCAGTGTTTCCATAACTGCTGGAAAAAGGCGTAAAAGTTGTCTCAAATTTCATGAAGAGAAGCTGAAGGTAAATACTTGTGTATCAACAAATTTCTTACATAAGAGCAACATACGAGCAAAAATAATTTATACGGTTGTTTTCGTTCCCGATTACAATAAATACTTAAGTTATAAAGCATAAAAGTACCGACAAACACTCAAATTAAATTACAAAAGTTTAGAGGAAAGTGTGTCAGAGCTCGAAAAAACCTCTTCGACAAATACGGACGCATTGTGATCTCACATTATCGTATGTACTATTAAATATATCATAATACTTTTATTTCAATAAAAATTGAGAAAATTCTTATAGAAATTAGCTTTAAACTCGTTTCCAAAAGTGCTATGCCGAAAGAAAAATTTCGCGAAAAATCTACGTTGCTTATTCCAAACAAATTTCTTGAACGCAAGGCTACAAAATTTAGTTCTTTTGAGCTGTTAAACAATGCATAAAACTACGATAACAAAAATGTGAAATTATACATACAATTGTTATCGATCACTATCGCCGTTATAAAACAATATATTTTTGATACCAATCGTAAGATTTGTACTATGCCGAGGAGACGACATTATCGTGACATTTCCTTCGCGGTGACATTTGCACCCATTAAATCTGACATTCAAATACAAACAAGCCCCTTACGAATGGATTCTCACAAAGAAAACGTCGAATTAGCAAAGTTTCAGACGCGCCGTAATCATATATTAGGACCGGGGAACATGCTACCGTTTCGTAAACGATCGATGAAGATTTATTCCGAATTGCTAGCTGAAAGTTAACTAAGCCTTAAGAAATTGATCAATCACATTCGAATTTGAGGAGAATAATTGACTGTGATTGGTCAATTTCTTAAGGCTTAGGGCTTAAAACACCTATTAGACCCGGACTAAACGTAAAGTCATGAAAAGCTATCGTGTCGATACGTGACGATACGAACGTATTAGTTACGTATATACGGTTTTCTCTGCCTTGCTTTACGTCTATGACTACGATAGACGTAAGAGCCTATATTTCGTTCTCTGCCATCAGCCTTAAAACCAAAGCACATAACATGACGTAGCGATATACGACGGTCGTAGTCCCCGACCTGACAGATCAAGATACGTCAAAACTTGTGCGTTACTTACGTCCACGACTACGATTGTCACATGTGCTTTGGCCCTTACTCTTAAATCGTAAGCAGTAACTGCGCAATTATGGCAACAGTAATGTGTGCCGCCTACAATTCTGCTGCGAATACTTGTATATAATACCCCGAGGTGATACGCAAAAATCTCACTTGTGCAAATTTCACGAATGCAGAAGAAGATACGGGTCGCGGATTGCCGCAAGTAAAATAAGAGGGTATTTTCTGACGCGCCGTAACATCTTATCTCTCTTAGAAATGGCCGCATTACTTTGCGTCACGCTTTCCTTACCTCTTCATATTTTTCCGGTCTAGTTAATTATCCAGAAGGGGAAAGTGTCGTTTTATAAATTTAACAAATCCGAAAAATGCTGTGACTAAGAGTGTCTTGTAGTGTTGGGACTACCCGAATATCTGAATAATGACGTCATAACATATTCGTGTAATCCATTATTTGAATATTCGAATAAAATCCGAATATTCAGGAAAACTATAAAATTGTTCTAAATGCAGAAGTAGAAAATAATTAATTTAAAAAAAAAACACTTATATATTTACTTTTCGGGATTTTAACAATAATTACTGTATGTTAGATTGATTTCTGTTTCGTTCAATATCCGGACTATCCGAATTATATCGAGATCCGAATTATCAAATTTCAAATATTTGGATTATTCCTTCATTATTTTTCTCTTCAAATATCCGGATGTTTGAAAAATAAAATAATTTGGATTATCCGTAGCATTAATATCTTGGAAATCGTTACCATTACACAAAGCGATAAATTCTGACATCTTCGTGAAATAACTAATTATTGTATAATAAAATGATATGTTCTCTCCAAGCTGATTTATCATAAATTAATGCACATAATCACAAATGCAATTATGCATAATTGCTAATCCAATGAGATTAGCTGAACAAAATACAATTATTTAGAAATGCATACATGTAATCGTGAAAATAGCTCGATTCGAATTCAAATAATAAACATACAATTGCACATATTAAAACAAAATTGTCCAAATTTAAATAAAATTGGAAGACAATAAGTCTAGGTCTGTCTGTTATAAAATACACACGTATTCTTTTCATCCTCTCTTTTTCTTAGCAATTTCATTCATTTCAAATGCGTAGAAAATGTAGCGTGACTTTAAAAAAAAAACAGATATAATTCCAACAGAAGTTCGTTTTTTGTTTTGTTGTTTACGTGACAGATTTCAGATTGTTACAGTGTTTAGGCAGCACGATAAATTCCTCTCGTACAAAATGTAACCTCCGTTAGCAACATTCGTGACAGATGTATTCTGAACTATTGATTATCGCTCGTGCGGAAATGCTGCGCGAGTAAATTCGACCGGCCGCGGCGCGGCGTGAAATGATAAATTTTACTCTCGTAAAGTTTCCCGTATGCCTGAAAGAATTGATCGTCGTCGTTATAGCGCAACCCTTTGCAACGATCATAAAATGCGTGCTGCCGACAGTGATCGCTCAATTAACGGGACCAAGATCTTTACGATGGGTAAAGCCTCGATGATTTGCAGCGAAATAACGACCTATTGAAAAATGACCTGTTTGATCGATCCAGGCTTTCTGCTTACAGGCGCGAAATGTTCTTTAGTCTCGCTATCTCATTTCGTGCGAATCTCTTCTCTATGTACGGCATGAATAAGGACAAAAATGAAGAAACGTTAATCCGACACATTCGTTATCGTTATCACGGTAAGCATTAATTATGATGGAAGTAAAAGAATGAACGAGAGAAACGCTTGGCAAAGAAGTACCTATAATCGCTCGCATTATGTTCTAGTGTGCTTAACGATTCCCGTTTTTGCCCGCATTCATCCGCCGTGAACCGTGCGATCATGCGTGAACGTGTATTACGCCACGTGTTACAACCGTTAAGGAGATTATGGATCCAATCGCGACAAGTTATCGCTGGTAATTAATGGTACGCCAATCTAAATAAAGTAGATCGACGATACGTCTTTGCACTAATTACTAATAAGATTACGGACTTGTAAGCTCTCGAAATTGAGGTTCCATATTGCACTTGCCTAAAGATCAATACCGAATGCTCATTAGCCATTAGTGGCCGTATAAATGTTTCGTGCAAATATACATTTTGCATGGCACATTTTGCAATATATACATACGGCGCTCCGTCTACTCGCAGATTAAAACACGCATTGCATTTTATCGATCGTTAAAGTTTACGAATATGTAAGGAAAATGACTCACTGCAGATGCATGATTTGCATATAAATAAAAGACGTAATCGCGCATTAAACAGATTTTCTGAGACAAATCTTTGTAAATCGTTTCTTCAAGAGTTTGAATATTTTTGTATGACGTTTTACTTTTCGTGGAAAGATGATATCCATTATGTACATTAAATTGCACAACATTTATTTAACAATTTACTTTATCAAATTGTGCGATACATGTAGACAATTATTAACATTAAATAAAAATCGTGTCTTTTACAATATATTAAT